AAGGTTATAACAAAGGGAAGGCTGGACAAGTTTGCAAGCTTGTTAAGAGCCTTTATGGCTTGAAGCAAGCATCTAGAGAATGGAACTGTGAACTTTCCAAGAGGCTGCTGGAATTTGGACTTGTGCAATCACCACAGTATCATTGTTTGTTTACACAGCACAAAGATGGTCACTTCCTTGCCATGTTGGTCTATGTAGATGATGTCCTAGTGATGGGATCTAATTCTCAGCAGATAATGGATTTAAAAAGATACTTGCATGATCTCTTCACTATCAAAGATCTTGGTGTTGCAAAATACTTCCTTGGAGTTGAGATTTCCAGAACAACTAGTGGGATTCATCTCTGTCAGAGGAAATACATCCTAGATTTACTAAAGGATATGGGGTTAGAGGATTGCAAGAAAGCTGCAACTTCCTTACCACAAGGGTTGAGATTAACAGGTTATGATGGACAGCCTATGTCTGAGCCAGAAACATATAGAAGACTTATTGGCAGGCTGCTTTACCTTAATATGACTAGGCCGGATGTGAGCTATGCGGTTCAGCAGTTAAGTCAATTTGTCAACAGCCCTTTCACTGAACATTGGGATGTTGTAGTCTAAGTACTCAAATATCTCAAGGGCACCATTAGCCTTGGTCTCTTTTTCAAGTCCCAGTCACACCCTCTACTCCATGCCTATTGTGATGCAGACTGGGCTACTTGCAAGGACACTCGTCGCTCAATCACTGACTACTGTGTTTTTCTCGGTGATAATCTCATTTCTTGGAAAAGTAAGAAGCAGGTGACAGTAGCTCGATCGTCGGCAGAAGCTGAATACAGGTCCATGGAGACCACGACTTGTGAACTCCAATGGATTTACTCTCTGGCCAAGGAGTTTCAGCTGCAACCTTCCCTACCGATCGTCGGCAGAATGCTGCAATGCACATTGCGGCAAATCTCGTCTTTCACGAAAGGACCAAACACCTCGAGATTGATTGTCATATCGTCCGTGATAAATATAAGGCCGGCTTTATCAACCCAACTTATGTGCACTCTTCTGCGCAACTAGCGGATTTCTTTACCAAGCTCTTACCTGCTGCTGTTTTTCGTCGCCTGCTGTGCAAGTTGGAGTGTGAAGTTGGGTGTTTCTACTGTTGATCACACTCCAACTTGAGGAGGGGGTGTCGAACAGCAGCTCAATATGCTAAGCAGTTATAACTGCTCCTTAACAGTAGAGAGAAATCGGGTTGCATTAATAAAGTTGTAAAAGTGCTTTGTAAATATTTTGTACGCACTTTGTGTTAGCTGGGTTAATTCCCACGACGTCGTTTCAAGTGTTTAGGACGACGTCGTTTCCTGTTTGCATGAGTGATATAAATGCACTCTTCCTAAACATCGTTTCCTGTTTGCATGAGTGATATAAATGCACTCTGTATGTACTGTCTCACTTTCAATGCAATCAAACAAAATTTATCTCCAATCTTAGCTTGCGATTCTTCATAACTGAAATAAGTAATTCTAAGATTTAACTGAAATAAACGGGTCGCTACATCCTAATCGTCGGCCAACTTCTATAAAATGATAAGATAAGATTATACAAACTCTTCCACTCATACTCTATAGTCGCCACTTTAAACGAAAAATTGATTCTAACTTAGACGTCGGAAGATCTACCCTGGAGACAAATCTAAAATTTTGTATTGTGCAGGGTGTCGAAGCAAATGACAACTCTGAAATTTTGTATTGTGCAGGGTGTCGAAGCAAATGAAACGCATTAAGGAGGACGTAGACGCATACAAGGCCGCCGCCACGCACATATCCTCGAACTAACGCCAAGTATTTCTTGTACCACCAGTTAATATTTTATTTATCTATCTAAATAATATTCGTTATCATTTAAATAATATTTTTTTTTTTGGTACTGAAAGAGGAGAAAAGTTCAAGCCGCTATTCGACGAGGGTAGGCCACTCCCAGCACGTCATGCTGAAGCCATGGTTTCAATCCCGTCGGCGAGAACTCTAGCCGTTGCACCCCCTGGTCCCGTTGCCGCAAGCGACGCCAAATAGTCGGCCGAGAAGTTTGATTCGCGATAGACATGTTGTAGGACCACATTCCAATCTCGATTCATCACCTCCCGGATAGCCCGGACAAGGCTACTGTACATACCTTGATCGTCCGACTGGCCAATCACCATTTAAATAATACTTTGTTTGGGTTTGTTTTCTAAAATAGTTTTGTTTTTATTAAAATCCTATTTTACGGAGCACAAACAGCAGCCTTTGGTACTTTTTCCAACAAAAGAAAAAACGAAAGGAAAGAAAAAAGGTTTAATACCTCTTCACCACATATTATGTTAGAAAAAAAAAAAAAAAAAATTACAAGGATGAAACTCAGTTAATACACAGCTAATATCCAGCTTTTCAGTAAAAGGCCAGCCCATCTGAGCCCATCATCGGAGGTGGTTGGTCGGGATACGACGGCCCAGGCTCTGGTGAGTTAGGAGGTGGCACATCAGGTGGTACTATCTCGGGTGGAGGAGGCATAGGTGGCCGAGGTGCCTCCGGCTTTGGTGGAACCAAATCCGGTGGGCTTGGAAACTCTGGGCCTGGGTTAGGCCCAGGCGAGAGAGGCGGAGGGTCAGCAGGCATCTCCGGAGGAGTTGGGTCAATGTCCGGAACACTGGGCCTCGGCGGCATCTCAGTTGGCGCACCAGGCTCATATTCAGGTGGAGGAGCCGGAACCTCTGGCGGCAGATTTCCCGGATTGTAAGTTGGGCCATGGGCCCGGCCCGTTATCCAAGATGGAGTAAAAAAAGCACGATTTCTTTGTTTAGCAAATTGGGTCCAATAAGTTGATTTTGTTCTTCGAATTTTAGAGGCGAGTAAAGGGGTGATTGAGGGTGATGAAAAGGGCAACATGTTTTTATTTATCAAATTCGTAGAGACCAAATTTATTGAGAGCAACGACATACGTAGAAGAAGAAAGAGGATAAGTCGATACAAATAAGATCTGTATGTAAGCTTCAAGGGAGATCATATCATCATATATTAATACTAACATTCTTGTACGTGGCAAGGAGGGGGACACGTGGAGCCCATGCAAACTGCATACGTGGATTTGAGGCATATGTGTTCATTCGCAGTTGTAGGATCTGGAACGGTCCTACTGTTTAAGCAAAACTAAACGATATTCATAAGTTGTCTTCTTCAAAAATCTAATTTTTCATATTTTAGATGAACGGGAACTAGAGATGTTAAATGGTTCTTGACCCGACGGGTCGATCTATTTAACGGGAAAAAAAAAAAGATTAGGGCCCTTTATTAATAGTCCGTTTAAATCAGGACTTTTTAGGTCCGAATCGTTTAGCTCGAAACCCGCTAGTGCTGACCCATTTAACTAGGATTGAGTGGTGTAATAATTAGCATCAAGTAAGTAATATGTTCTTAGATTCCTTGTATAGTACAATTTTGCTATTCCACTTTGTAAGAAACTGGGGGAAAAGGAAAGCCAATATGAAACCCAAATGAGGTTCCATCCCAAAACCAATTGGTGAAAGGAGGAGTAGCCCATTAAACTTATTAAGTGGGTCTATTTTCCATGTATGAACGATGTGGGACAACTCACAAGTGATATTCTAACACGCCCCCTCACTTGTGAGTCCTGATATCATGTCTCTAACCCAGGCACAAAGTGAGCTCTGATATCATGTCTTTAACCCAGACACAAAGTTGGTCGGGCTCTGATATCATGTCTCTAACCCAGACACAAAGTGGGCTCTGATACCATGTAAGAAACTGGGGGAAAAAGGAAAAGCCCATATGAAGCCCAAGTGGGGTTCCATCCCAAAACCAATTGGTGGAAGGAGGAGTAGCCCATTAGTCTTATAAGGTGGGTCTATTTTCCATGTATGAACAATGTGGGACAACTCACAAGTGATATTCTAACACGCCCCCTCACTTGTGAGTCCTGATATCATGTCTCAAACCTGACTCTGATATCATGTAAGAAACTGGGGGAAAAGGAAAGCCCATATGAAGCCCAAATGAGGTTCCATCCCAAAACCAATTGGTGAAAGGAGGAGTAGCCCATTAAACTTATTAAGTGGGTCTATTTTCCATGTATGAACGATGTGAGACAACTCACAAGTGATATTCTAACACACTTGTCATGTGAGTATGAGTTTTAATGGATTATTATGATTTTGAAAGATAATTATTAACATAGTGATAGAATTTTAGTGAAAATTCCTAAAGCGTACAAAATAAGTCGTAAAAGGTAATTGTAAGTAATAATTGAAATATTTTTTTGCTTTGAGAAATTTAAGAATTTGTAATGTGTGTTCATATATGATATGTAGTTGTATATATATAGAGGTAAATACTAAATACCCATTGAAAACAATCATTAATTAGTCGTTGTTATTTTTTTTATATTTTTTGTTCTTTTTATTTTTGATATTTTTTGATATATTATTATTATTATTGTTATTGTTATTATAGCCCGCATAGCCCGAAGCCCGCTAGGGTTAGAGTCAGGTCCTTTTATTGGTAGCCCTTTTAAATTCGAGCTTTTTAGGTCCGACTGTTATTGGGCTAGCCCGAAACCGTTAAGGTTAGCCCGTTTAACATCTCTAGCCCGTCCATTAGATCGGCGATTTCCAGAATCGGCCCGTGGGGTGCGGTCCTATTCGGACCGTACTGATTCGAACTGGTGCATGTCGGTGCTGATGGGAGATTATGTTTCAGTCTTAAAAGGAAAGCAACAAATATATTATACACAAGAGATGGAATTGAAGTTGCATTCTTATCCTCATTGATGCTTACATTATTAATTAATTGAGTTTAAAGATCCGTGATACTGTTCCATTAAGAGCAGTGGGACCAGAGAAGCTATTGAATTGGTTTCTTCATCTATATATATATATAAGCACCGCTTGTTTCCATGGATATATATACATCATTTTTCTAACAGACTTACATAATAATAAATACTAAAAGTTGAGAGAGATATATAATAAAGATGTTGAAGTACAATGACTACTACTACTACTGCGTGAATATTGCATCATGGGTGTTGGGTTTAGCGGCAGCAGTAGTGTGGTTGTGGAAAATTGTGAGGTGGGCTTGGGTGGAGCCGAGGCGCATGGAAGCTTTCCTGAGGAAGCAGGGCCTCCGAGGCAATCCTTACACCTTTCTCTTCGGAGATGCTAATGAAATCGCCCATCTCTACCGCCAAGCAAACGCCGAACCCATCGATCCTTCCGACGACATCGTGCCTCGTGTCATGCCCTTCATCAAAAAAACCATCCAAACTTACGGTAATATCTATAAATATAATAATACCCCCAACCCCCATTTTTATTACTCAAAATTCATGGAGATGCTACAGTGCCTCGTTATGCAATCATTTGTAACTGTGATCATCATGTAACTGTAGTAGATAATTGATGTAACGGTTACAAATCTCGATGAAATGGTTTCGTAACGGCACCGTAGCATTTCCTGTATAATATATCATCAACTCTATTGCTTTTTTTTTTTTTGTCAAAAAAGGCAATTGTTGTAGCCACACCTGGAGTACGCTATATATAGCCTCACTTAACTTATTATTATTATTATTATTATTATTATTATTATTATTATTATTAAAAGCTTTTTACACTAACGTTATATTTCACAAAATTAATAATATTACATCTCCTAAAATCAAATATCGGCTATCTCTTAATCAGTTTTTTTACAGAGTCATCGGATGGCTCGACTTTTGGATCCATCTATAATTATTCATAAATAGTGTATTGACACGTGTCCTACAATAAATACACTATGGACAGATGTCCGATTCATATAGGTTTCATACAACAAAATACCAATTAAGTATTGATTAGAAAATTTTATTGAAAAATTATGACATAAATTATCTACTATCAATATCAATTAACTTCATAATTAATTTTATTACTTAAATTTCAAATGGGATTTAAAATAATAGTGTTGGCTAATTTTTAAAGTTGTAAACATGCGGGTAGTATTGAAAAATTGTAAAAATTGATGAAAAGAATATTCAAAAAATACTATTTTGGGTTTGAGAATAAGTTTTTCGACTGAAAATGAATTATTATTTGATATAACAGTTACTGCAAAATGAATTTGAAAATAAATCGAAGATGGTATAAAATGTGCTAGGCAATGGGTTGGGTACTAGCATCTAGGTTAGAGATGTTAAACGGTCTTTGGCCCGACGGGCCGACCCGTTTAGCCCAGAAAAAAATAGGGTTAGGACTTTTTATTGGTAACCCGTTTAAATCAGGGCTTTTTAAGCCCGAACCGTTTAAACCGAAGCCCGTTAGGGCTAGCCCGTAACCCGCTAGGGCTGGCCCGTTTAACTTGAATTGGATGTTTTAAATGTTTGCAGCAAGTAAGTAATATGCTCTTAGATTCATTGTATATTACAATTTTGCTATTCCACTTCACATGTAAGTATGAGTTGTAACGAATTATAATGATTTTGAAAGATAATTATTAACAATATTCTTATTGTACTCCACACCTAAATATTTAAGAACGACTAATAGGAAACAATGAGACAAAGTCCTAACACATGAAACATAGTGATTGAATTTGTAATGATATAATATCGTAAAAATTTCCAAAGCCAAAATAAGTAGTAAAATGGTAATTGTAAGTAATAATTCGAATATTTTTTTCTTTTGAAAAAAATATGTTATTTAAGAGTTTGTAGTGTGCGTTCATATATGATGTGTAGTTATATATATAGAGCGGTAAATACTAAATAACCGTTGAAAACAATCGTTAATTAGTCGTTGCATTTTTTATAACTTTTTATTTTTATTTTTATTTTTGATACATTATTATTATTATTATTATTATTATTATTATTATTATTATTATTATTATTATAGCCCGCATAGCCTGAAACCCGCTAGGGTTAGAGTTAGATCTTTTTATTTGTAGCCCGTTTAAATCCGAGCTTTTTAGGCCCAGACCGTTTAACCCGAAGCCCGCTAGGGCTAGCCCGAAACCGCTAGGGCTAGCCCGTTTAACATCTCTAATCTAGGTAGGGATCAGACGGGGTTTATGCGCTTATAAAAATCCAATAAATTTATTTGTATTTAGAATCATACATAACATACAACAATATTTTATAAAATATACTACTTAGTATGGTTAAGTACATATATTTTTTTTTAAAAAAAATATATTATATACTTCTTATATTATATTAATTTGATGACATTATAATTATTTTCATTATTTTATTAATTTATATACATTTTAGGTATAAAATAAACAAATATGTTTTTTATATTTAAAGAAAAAAAAACAAAATCTTTGTGTAAAAAAAAAAACGATTTTTTTTTAAATCACTACAAGAAAGCACTTCAATTTCAACGAAGAATTCCAACGGCAAAGTTTTCTGTTGGAAATTCCAATGAATATTCCAACAAACTTAATTTTATGTTGGAATAAGTGTTGGATGATTGAGGAATTCCGACGGATTTTTTCGGTTGGAATAGTTGTAGGAATTTATTTCCATAGGATTTTCCGTTGGATTTTAGCTATTCCAACAGCCGTTTTTCCTACGAATTTTTTATACGTAGGAATATCGGTTGGAATAGCTATTTCTAACAGAAAATATAAAGAATTCAAACGGAAATTTTCCGTTGGAATGTAAGAGTTTTTGTAGTAGTGAATATACTAGTGTCTAGGTGGGAACTGGACCACCTAGGTCGCCGCAAAATCAGTTAAAGCAGGACAAACTTCGCAATCGTACAGATCACCTAGACGTCACTTAGCCTGCCTAGGCGGCGCCTACTTGCACAAGTGTGTAGAAGGGGCGCCTAGACGAAAATTGGAACACGTGGGTACCCCCTAGCGCCTAGCTCGACTTTTATTGTAGTGTTTAGAACAACACCCCAAAGAAGGTGGGGGGTTAAGGTCTGACCCCCAACCTATATATTAGCAAGGCCCTAAATGAGCTGAAAAAATAACAGTCTACAAGACCAATGTCCGATATATATCAAATCAAACGAAAACAAATAAGAGACAAGAAAAAGTGAAAAGAAAAGATACAATTAAAGCAGCAAGTTGTTCTTTTTACAAAACAGGCATTTCACTTCTCCATAAGCGTGGAAATTAAACGAGATAGCGTGTGATTGTTCTTTCTACTAAAAATTATACTCCCTCCTATTCATTATAAATGTCGTTTTGACTTTTTTGATTCATCCATTTTGTTATGTATTTAGACATATTAATGTCTAGATACATAATAAAATGGATGAATCACAAAAGTCAAAACGACATTTATAATGAACAGGAGGTAGTATATTAATTAAGATGATAAACTGATTGATCTGATGAACAAAAACAGGGAAGAACGCATTCGCATGGATCGGGCCAAGAGCCCGAATAATAATATCTGAGCCTGAACTGATGAGGATTGTGCTAAACAAACACAAGACCTACCAAAAAAATTTCAGGGTATCAAACAAGATAATCAGACTGGTGGTTGGAGGACTTGTTTATTATGAAGGAGACGAATGGAAAAGATCAAGGATGAAGCTCAACCCCGCTTTTCATCTCGAAAAGTTGAAGGCGAGGATTTGTTTTCTTTCTTCTTACTCGGCAATTTGAGCGAAAGCTAAGATTTTAATGTTTGTAATTGTGAACACAATGCAGCAAATGGTTCCTGCAATGCAGTCATGCACAGAGAACATTCTTAATCAATGGAAAAGCAAGATAGGTGGCGATGGCACGTGTGTTGTGGATGTGTTGCACTACCTTGAGGACTACAGCGGCACAATGGTGTCGAAGTCTTTGTTCCACGCCACTTACAATGACGAGATGAGAAGAAATTTTCACTACCTTAGGGACCTCACTATCATGACCGACACCGCCTCCAAGCCCTTAAATTTTCCTGGCTCAGAGTACTTCCCCTCTAAAACCAAAAGGAGAGCCAAGGAAATGGAAAAGGAAGTTCGTCGGTCATTTACTCAAATGATCGAGCAGCGGCTGAGGGACAGAAGAAGGTCTTCATCACGTGGGCCTAATGAGGGGGCAGACCTGCTCGACTTCATCCTAGACGAATTGTACGAACTGGAGAGGAGAAACAGCAGGGTAAGCAACAACAAGCGGAAGATAATGGAGGAGGCCATTGCACAGACCAAGTTGTTCTACTTTGCAGGCTTCGACACGACTTCTAATCTCCTTGTCTGGACCATGATCACACTTGCCATTCATCACAACTGGCAGGCCCGCGCGCGGGAGGAGGTTCTGCAGGTATTGGGCCAGAACAAGGCCCTCACCCACCATGATTTGAACGAGCTCAAAATTGTGAGTAATCAATCCTTCTTTTTTTTTTTTTTTTTTTTTGGTTCATAATTTTTATTTATTAGTATCATCACTATTATTTATTTTGTGTATATAGGTAAACATGATACTGCTTGAGGTTCTGCGTCTATATCCACCTGTGATGGAACTCTCCCGAGTGGTGGAGGAGGAAACTCAACTGGGAAACCTCAGAATCCCAAAGGGAGTGCTTTTGCAGCTGCCAATTGCAATGCTCCACCGGGACCCACAGATATGGGGTGAGGATGCCTTGGAATTCCGTCCCGACAGGTTTGCTGAGGGGAGCCTCAAAGCGGCCAACGGGCAGGCGGCTTTCCTGCCATTCAGCTGGGGCCCACGGATTTGCATCGGCCAGAACTTTGCACTCTTGGAGGGGAAGGCCTTCGTGGCCCACCTCCTGCGCACCTTCTCCTTTGAGCTGGGCCCCACGTACCTGCACGCACCCTACGCCGCCTTCACTGTACAGCCGCAGTTCGGGGCCCCACTGCTCCTCCGCAAACTCTACTAGGATCCATCTTCAATTTACTTGTATTTTTGTTTTCTACTTGGTTGTTCTGTTTAGTAGTTTATTAGAACAACTCTGAACCATTGTGTTTGTAATGCCTTGAGAAAATCTAGTGTAAGTATCATCATACACAAGGCATAATTAATTAGGAAAGTTACAAAAACCACAACCATATATTCTCATTATTCTGAGATCCACACAAGCTGGAACAGAATGTGGATCCAATACAAACACTCACAACAGTAAAACACACTGCCCGCATACATTGTAGTAGCTAGAGCTGTCTCATGACCAAATTCAAATGTGACAACAACACCATATATATAAAATAAAACACATTGCATTAATTTTCACATATAATGAATTTACTACAGATTAGAGCTCTGTGAGGATGAGCGGGGCACCGTACTGTGGGTGGATGGTGAAGTCAACCTTGGGTCCGTGCTTATAACTTGGGGAGAGGTCTATCGAGAATTTCCTGAGGAGCAAAGCAATGAACACCTTGAGCTCGATGACAGACATATTTTGACCGATGCAAATTCTGGGCCCGGACCCGAATGGCATGAACATGCCCAACCCGTACTTCTTGGTTGCCGTGGCAACTCCATCCGCAAACCTCTCGGGCTTGAACTCCTTGGCGTCATTTCCCCACAAATCGGTACTCCTATTTAACAGTAGAATGGGGTATGTCATGAGAGTGCCTTTGGGTATCATGTACTCTCCTATCTTTGTGTCATCCACTATAAGCCTTGATAACTCCATACTCGACGGGTATAGACGCAACACCTCATTCATGATCATTGTTATCTACATGAAAAAACAAATAAATTTTCAAGAGCATTTATTCAATCGTATATCATATATAAAGTAAAGCCCGCTTATTATAAGAAACTTACGACTTTAAGTTGACTCAAGTCGTCGGCAGAGATCTCTTTTTTGTCTCCGATCACCCTCATAACCTCTTCCCGCGCTCGATCTTGCCAGTCTTTGTAAACTGCGAGATTGATCATGGTCCAACATGTTGTATTGGAAGAGGTCTCGAAACCCGCGAAGAAAAAGATCTTGCATTGTCCGATGATGTCATCAATCATTTTCCGACGATCCCCACCGCCTTTGGTTTGCTCATCATTGTACAAGTCCTCCATGAATATCTCCAACAAGTCCCGATTCTTGGAAGTCGTGTCTCGTTCTCCTCTCCTCATCTTTTCGAGCCTTTCATTAATCATAGACGTGAATGAGTCTTCTATGAATCGATTCACTTTGTGAGCCTCTATGTTCTTCTTGGTAGGAAAATACCTTTAACATGACAAGAACATGATCAATATGATTCTGAACAGTTTCAAGTCTGTTAACAAATCATATGTAATACTTACTTTTGTCCAGGTAGACTCAAGAGATCAACGGAGAGTCTCCCCAAACCTTCCAACTCGACGAGTTTGAAGAAAGTTTCTTTAACCTGACCTGTGTATGGAGAGTTAAACATCAACTGTGCCAACACCGAGCTTGTGTAAATGTCCAAATGCTCTTTCACGTCGATCACGTTAGACCCACCGCCCGCTGACGTAATCTTCTGCCATTCATTTAGGATGTTCTCACAGCATACTTGCACCTTAGGCACCAGTGGCTGCAGCAATAACAAATTAACAGCAGTAAAAAAGTTGGTTGGCCATTAAGCACCATAAGTACGTACATAACAAACACCAATTGAGCTGTGAAACGACATTATATTATCAATACTAAAAACTCTTTTAATTTAACACCTTCAAATTGGTGGTGTGGAAAGCCGGGTTGAGCTGAGACCGGGTTTTGTACCATTCGTCGCCTTCCATGTTAGCGAGCCCTTTGCTTATTAGCATCTTAGCTATTGGATTATTCGCTTTGAATGGCTTCTTATATTTGCGATAATTGATCATTAGCTCTCTAAACACACTAGGCTCGGTTATGTAAACCCGCGGTCGAGGCCCCATCCAGTTGAACGAAAAATTCCCTGCATCAAGATTATCAAATGTACTATCATGATTAATCCATTATTACCACTATAGATTGCCTATTTACCATATTCAATGCATACTCAAATAATTTTAAGTATCTCACTTCACACCATCGCTTTCCTACTTAACATCAAATCAACGTCACTTATTTCATTCTAAATATTATTTCAATATTCAACTAACAACTAATCAAACCAGCTCCTTTAAAATTAAGCATGGTTAAAAAAAATTTAGTAGTTTATTTGTATCCAAACGCGCCCTAAAGATACCGTATTTGTTGACAGTGTCGAGTATGTTGGGCATGAGACGAGGCACGATGTCGTCGGCAAGGTCGATGGGCTTGGAGAAAGCTTTCTTGTAGAGTTCATCAACTCCTTTCATGTCCCCTAACAAAGGCTTGTATGTGGTGCCTTTCATGCCTTGTTTTCTGAATAGCCTCTCGATCCTCTTGGGCGTCACCCAAGCCCAGTTGATGAATTGCCATAACAACACTCCTACCACGCTCAACACTGGAACTATCACAAATTTCAACATTCTTATTATAATTTTTTGCTGCCTAACTTAGTTTTGCAATTGGTTGAGAACTCTCCACACACTCTGCCCCATATATAAGGGAAATATAATAGTGAATGTTTAAATAATGTAGGGACGTTTTAGTTTTGGATTTTTTAGATACCAACTAGCTGGGTGCCGTCAAATAAGACTCTGACCTTATTCTTATAAGTTTAACTATTCAAATTTACATAATGTTAATGTTATGGTGCTGTTGCGGAATCATTCCGACCATCGGGGTTTGTAACCCTTAGATCATCTATCCTCGACGGTTGTATGATGATCTAACGGTTACAAATCACGACGGAATAGTTCCGTAACGGGAACATAGTATATCCCTAAACATTTTAACAATAATATAAATCCCGACAGAATAATTTTGTAACGGGAACGTAGTATCTCCCTAAACTTTTTAACAACAATATAAATTTCGACGGAATAGTTTCGTAACGGGAACGTAGCATCTCCCTAACCATTTTAACAACAATATGCATAGATTTTCCTCATAAGTGGGTCCTATTCGAACAAAAAGAAAAGCCACCAAGTTGGCACACCACATTTTTTAGCACAATATTAGGAAAAAAAGGTATTTATTTGCTCGCCATTTGGTCCATCACTGATTCCAGAGACAAGAAAGCAGACAAGGGTGCGATAAAAGGTAAGGACCCATTTCGAATAAATAGCCATTGGAATAAGCATTAAAAAAAAAAAAAAGAAAGAAAGAAAGAAAAAACCACTCAGGTTTTGGGTGGTCAGAAACATTTGAGGTCCTCGACAATTTTATTTTTTTACATCAAATAAATCATTAGTCATCAAAATATTAACGAAAATATCGTCAAATTCAATTTTGAACACTCATTTTCTAACAATGAATCTAAAGATAAAAAAACAAAATATGAGTCCTCGCGCTCCTCATGTCACTATGGTCTATGGGACCTCGTGGCCCTCGTGTCAATATTATAGCAATAATCCAAACTCACATACGCCACACAACCACCCAAGTCTAGACATGCCCATAGTTTGACCGGGCCCATTCTGAGCCACATGTAATTAAATTTTTGACCCAACGGAGTCCAGGCCAGCCCGCAAATTTTCCATTTTTTATTTGTTGGGCCGGACCGAGCCGTGGCCCGCCAGTAGCCGCTGGCGGCCCGCCAACAGTCAATTTTTTCTCCAACGGTCAATTTTTTTAATCAGTTTCGATCAAGGTCCGTGTCTGTGTCCGTGTCCTACTCGGCCCTCCATATCGGCCAATTGTCAGCTTTTCAAATCTGACCGCTTGATCTTCTAGACTATTGAGATCCAACGTTCAAGATCCGAATGACAAGTTAGGCTAACTCGAACCCGATGGGTCCCGTAATTAAAAAAAATATGAAAAAATGAAAAAAAAAATCCAAAAAAAATCTAAAAAAAATTCTATAAATACCCCCACCCCGAATCATATTTTTCACATAATTTACAACATTTTTCCCCTCTTCTACGATCATTTCTAAGTTCTTGAAGTTTTAATTTTTAATTTTTGTGCTCATTTTGCTATAAATCGGTCCAATTCTATATAAGTTTGGTCCCGAACTCCCGATTATATATATTCACTCTCATTTTGTTTCTGATTCTATAAATTTTTTACATAATACCCTATCATTTGTACTTCATATATAGTTTTCCACCTCTTTTTTTTTTTTTTTTTTTTTTTTTTTTT